CGATCATTTTCAGAGCTGGAACTCAGCAGCAGGCCACCCTACTGCTCACGTGAGGCCTTGCACGCCAGTGGGTGAGTTCCTCAGGGGCCCAGGTGACCTCATGTCCCACCACATCCCTACACGTTCCAGCCCTATCAACCCCCCACCAGTGGGCCTCACCTCCTATACACACCCTGGCTTGGCCACCTCAGTCAGCATCCGTTCACGAAAGTGGGGACACTCCCTGCCAGCAGCATCCAAGACAGACGCAAACCCCCAGGATGCACAGGGCCTGTGGAAGGGGGCAGAGAGGGCTGCCCCTCCCCGTGGGGTGCCCCATGCAGCGTGACAAGCAGTTATGGCTGGTTGGACACTAGTAGATGAGGGTGAGAGCTGGACACTGGGGGCCCTGCTGGGAGCGGAGGCACAGGATGGTCCGTGTGGACTCCTGATGGCCTGCTGCACCTTGACCATGCTGACCCTTGCTCCCAGCCTCACCTTCCTTGCTGTCAGGTGGAACCCCTGTAAACACACTATTCTGGTGTTGAAGCCAATGTGCGGCCTCGTGGGAAGAAGGCGAGCAGCCACTGTCTAGAAAACCAGCTCACATGTGGAGGGGAGAGTGGCTCTTCATACCACCCCTACCCTGGTATACCCAGTACCTTGAGCAACCTCGGTTTCTGGGGTAACATGTGGGCACGGCTGTTGGGCAAGGTGAGAGTGGAGCAGGCCCCTAGTGGCCTGGCTTACTGGGGCCACTCCCCACTCCCACCAGATCTCACAATGGTCCCTGAGGAGATCTGGGGTAAGGGCAGGGCTGATAGAGCCCCTCACCCCAGGGTTCAGAGCAGCTGGACAAGGCCTGTGTAGGTACAGGTAGGGGGGCTGAGGAAAAGGAGGCAGATCCCCCACCCCCTCAAGGAGCTGAAGCCAGCCTGGGGACTCAGACACATGGGGCCTCATGTCTGAGCACTTCCTAGTGCGGCCCTGACAGTTCCCATTTCCACCAGGCCCCACCCTGCAGCTCACTCCACACAGCTTTCTTACCTCGAGAGACAGAATCCCCAGGGAAGGCCCTGCATAGCGGGGCTTTGCACCATGGAAGGGGCTTACAGGGACAGGGCTGCTGTAGAGATACCACCAGTCCCTCTCAGCTCAAAGCCACACCCCATGGCCCCTGGGGAACTCAGCTACAGGTCCTGTTGAAAGCATCAATAATTGAGGGCTCCAGGGAGGCAGGTGGGGAGCACCTAGGGCAGAGATGCTTCTTCACATTTGCTGGAAAATGACAGTGGCCTAGGCCCCCCCACCCTAAGGGCTTTGTGCTTAGGGGTCCTTGGCAGTGACTCCCACAGGGAGCTCAGGTCTACAAAGTGGTCTACTTATTGGCTTTGTTTCCAGTGGACAGTGACTTCTGCACAAGGAGAGAGTGGCCTGGGGCTTCACACCCAGAGTCCTTAAACCCCAAACCTGTCCATTTAAAAAACCTCCACTGGGTTCCCACAGCATCCCGCCGACGGCTGCACGCTGTTCCAACGAATGTTCTTAGTCTGAACGCTAACAACAAATTTGTTCTGCAAATTCTCTCAAACTCAAATTATCAGTTAGAATGCTGGTTTTTTTTAATTAATTTCAATGAACATTTACAGAGATTTTGGATTTCCATTCATTTACTGATGCAGTTAGAATGCTATTAGTAAGTGGATTGAGGCTTTGGCTCCCTCAGTGGTGAGAAGGCAGCTCAAACCCACTAGCAGCTGCAAGGGAGAGAGACGGGCAGGCTCCTCCTGTGTGATGTGCCTCCTCTAACCCACGGGTCAGTTTCAGCTCAGTGTTTGGCAGTTGTTTTCCCCTAAGTTTCCTTTAACCAACACTTCAGTTTTGAAAAAAGTTACTCTCACAAGTTCACAAACTTGCTTTCCCACAATCAGGGCTTGGAACCCCGGCAGAGAAAACAAGGGGTATGCAGACAAAGCCAGTGATTGCTGGGGGCGTCTGACCAGCAAGCTCAAGAAATCTCCACAAATGAACAGAAACTCAGCCATGTCCTGATGCCCATGAACGCTTACACTGAATGGCAGGCACATTTATAGAAAACCGCGAATTTCTGCAGAAAATGCTGGACAACAGCTTTGTACAGGTGGCCGATGGGGGTGCCCTATACCGTCCAGGCTGCTGTGGTGGGCTGCGCCTCTCATCTCGGTGGGGTCTCAGTGTGGAAGGGGGGGAGGCCAGAGACAGGAAGGAACGCGGGGATACACAGGAGAGTGGGATGGTCCACAGTGTGGGAGGGGTCTGTGGCCTCCAGGCTTGGGCATTGATGTTTCCAGTGCTGGTGATGCTACAAGGTGACCAGGTTCCAAAGAGGGGCTGGGGGTTCACTCAGGTTTTTGGTGCACTAAGTTTGAAATAATGAGGTCACCAGCAGGTAGGAAATCCTCCATACCAAGGATGGGGAAGGGTTTCAGGGGAGGGTGGTCTGAGAAAGCAGCCCCTGATGGACAGAGGCTTGTCTGGGCCCCCAGCTTCAGAAAGCACAGAGGAGGGGATGGGGTGATGGCTGGTTCCCATGCTGCTGAGAAACACAGGAAAGACAGACACCCTCATCCATCAGTCTGAGAGGGCAGGGACCCCTCTGTACCTGAGCTGGGGAGGAGGCCCTCCATCCAAGGGGGCAGAGACCCCATTTTCTGGGACTCAGAGCATGAAGACAGAGGCTGGTGTCCACCCTGCCCGCTCCCACCAGATCCCACAGGTGTCTGCTACTGTGCGGGGTGGGTAGTAAGACACATCTCTGGACTGTCATAGACTGTCCCTGGTCTCCAGTCTCTGGTGTGCCAAGGGACGTCCCATTTCCTCCTCACGGCTGGCTCAGTGGACTGTGTGTTGCGAAGTTAGACGAGTTCACCACAGGCCTGCAGGACTGTCCAGGGACAGGGGTGGACACCATCAACTGTGGCCTCTGAGGTCACACAAGCAAGACCATGGGGCTCCTGGGGTGTCAGCCACAGAGGGGCTGACCCCCAGCACAAAGGTGGGACCTAGATGTTATTGTGTGTCCTCTGCTCTTTTCACCAAGACAGCCAAACTCTGGAAGCCCCTCGGCACCTGCTTTCCTCAGACTGTCGGCGGTGCCCTGAGCCAGTCCCCTGCTTGTGCGGACTGCAGGGAGTGCAGCTAAGGGGAGGTGGGGGCCATCTCAGCATCCCAGAACGAGGCTCAGCCCGGACCCGTCCCAGCGTGTGATCCTAGACCTGATTCCCAAGCAGATATCCCAGCGTGAGGCGCCTGTGTGCAGGCCGCTGGACATGAAGAGCCCCTGCTGCTGGAGGGCCAGTGAGCAAGGTCCAGATACGGCTCCCCTCACCCTCAGGCACTGCCCAGAGCCCCCTGCTTTCAGCTCACTGGAAAGTTCTGACACACGGTGACCCTAAGGCTGGGCGGGACTGCTTCGCAGGGTTTCCAGGCTGAGTGGAGTGAGCCAAGCGTTATGTTGCTAACTGAAAGGGTGGCAGTTCAAATCCACCAGCTCCTCTGAGGGACAAAGTCTCTGGATAGGACTTCCAGCACTGGAAACCCACTGGGGTCTCTGCCAGAGTCCGTGAGAAGGCCATGGGCTTGGCTTTCTTGTCGTGTCTTTCCAGAAGGGTCCTGGTGAGCACTCCAGGGACAGATGGACCGGCCAGGAATTGAGCCTCCAATGCTATGATGCTGCATTGCTGTGTGCTGCCTGCGGAACCCAGTCAGCTCATTCTCCGGTGGGTTTTCAGAGGCAGGAAATTGCACAAAGGGAGACTCTCCTCCCGTGGACCAAGTGCTGGATTGGAACCAAGAGTCTCTGAGACTACAGCACAGCTTCTTATCCTAGGCCAACGCCAACTCCACAGCAGCCAGGCTGATGCTGGCTCACGGCGGCCCCGCAGGACAGAGCGGAACGCCTCCTGGACTCCCCAACTGTCATCCTTAAACCTGACTGCTCCGCCTCTCTTCCACCAAGTGGCTAGTGGGTTTGAACCCTGACTTTTCAGTCACCAATCTAGCACTCTACCTGCCACGCCACCAGGTTCCACAGAACGCTCCTGGGAAGCAGAACTGCATCCCCAGCCAGCAGCCGTGGGCCTGCCTCCACGTCACCCTGGGCTGCCTGCGGGCCACTGGCCAGCAGACACATCCTGGCCATGCTGGCTTCCAGAGGGGCAGCAGTGCCCTCCAACAGGGTAAAGTGACAGCCACGGGAATGAGCTTTCAGGCAAGTACAGCAAGGTCTTTACAGAGCAAAGGACTTTACTGTTTCTACGAGAATGACATGAGCCTGTAATGAAATCCCAGCATGAACAAAACATAGGCGCAGATAGGGCAGTTCCTGTAGGGCTGCCCCAGTGCGGCCTGGTGTCCTGTCCCCAGCAGCTCCCCAGGGCTGCAGCCAGGGGCTGTATCTAGACACTACACGTGGCAGATCGATGTTACCCAGCTCGGCCATGTCCCAGGCCTGCAGGACCAAAGCTCCTGGTGCATGCTGGGGTGTCCTCTTCCTCTCCAACTAAAAACTGCCAGTGTGCTGACCATGAGATACGCAGCCTAACTCCAGTCGCACATGTAGTCGTTGGCCCCAGATGACATGCAGGGCGTAGGCAGCCAGGCATCTCAGACATCAGACAGTGAAAGCCCAGAGGTCAGGGCGTTGCTACCACAGCAGTGACCGTTGTCCAGTCACCACTCTCACCCCCAGCCATGAGCCCAGGGGTTTAAGTGCTCACTGCTGACAGAAAGATCGTCTTTCTCCCTTGGAGAGGGAGCTTGCTCCCCTGACAACAGCCAGAACCCCATGGTGTCACCAGGAGGCAGAACCTGACTCCTTATAATCAAGAGTCCTCAAAACCCAGCCTCACGTTCACCTTAAAGCAAGAACAGCAAGCTTCTCAGGAGGAAAGAGTCGGAAAGAAGGTGCAGATTCTGAACATTCTGGGAATGAAGCCCTCACCGGAAGAGGCAGGTCCCATGTGCAGTCCAGCGGCTTCCCACTAGGACTGGTCTTTTGTGCCAGACTGTCCGTGGACCAGATCCCCAAATCCCAACTTCTCCAGCGGCTCCTGGGCCATCAAGTGCCTGAAAAAGAAAGTGGACATGGTCAGGCAGGAGTGGAGAGCGCCCGTCAGACCATGGTCTGAGCAACCAGCCACATGGGCGCTGGGCCTGCCAGAGCTCACCTTAGCGTGCAAGGTTGCTATGGACGTGAGCCCATTAGACTCTGTCCCCGCTGAGATACCAGGGCCTAGTCTGTTCTCTCTCAAAGGGTGGGTCTGCCCCCTGGACGTGGCAGAGGGGTGGCTGTGTGGCAGAGCATGGACACAGACTGGATCGACACAGGGGACAGGGGGAAGCCAGGCTTTGAGGGGAACACACGGTGCGGCTCCCCAGCTTGACACCCTGCACAGGCACCTGGGAATCCAGGGCTCTGCACCTGGATGGCCGTCAGGACCAGCATGGACGTCCTGCACCCAGGCAGTCTGCCCATCAGGACAAGTGTGGGCCCTTTGCTAACTTGGAGCCTTCAGCCCTGATGTCTGGGGTGGATGGCACAGGCCCCACTGCCCTCTGCTCAGATCCAGCGGCCACTGGAGGGACATCTCTGGGCCAGGCACAGCCACAGAGGTGTCACCCATGGGCCACCCTCCTCTAGGACCACACAAGAGATGATCAGATGGACAGACAGATGGGTGGGCTGGGCTGCTGCCCCAGTAGCACCACCTTCATCATACAACCTCACAACTAGGACAAACAGAAACCTAGGCTGACGGGCATCTGCCCTGCGGGGAGTGAGGGGGACTCAGTCCCTACTGACCACTGTTCCACTATGAAGAGTCCTTCAATCCTGCTGCTTTCATCCTGACCTGGCTTCATGGGGGTCATGGGGTTACCAGGCATGAAACCATAAGTCTACATGTGTCCACGGTGAAGCCAGCCCCCTCCACCCTGTGTCTGGCAGGTCTGGGGTGCAGGGCCCGGCCCCCTCCACCCTGTGCCCTGCAGGCCTAGGGTGCAGGGCCCGGTCCCCTCCACCCTGTGTCCCGCACTCACAAGGGCTGAGAGATGACAGCATCTCATCCGGTGGTGGTTTACCTCCCAAATCACGCGAGGCATAGAGCAAAGCAGGCTGTGTGGTGGGAAGAGGCCGGGACAGGTCCTAACCACAGAGGCCCAGCAAGACAGAGTGGACCCAACACCTGTGCCCATCATGGAAGTACTTTGCCTCGTTGTACTCTACGATGTACCTGGAAGGTCTGAACCACCAACCTTCTGGTTGGAAGTCAAGTGTATCACCCACCACGCCTCCAGGTCTTCAAACACAACCCCTGGGTCTTAGAGAGAACCTTCCAGCTTGGTTGTTGAGAGCCACGAGCAGGTGAGGGCCTCAGGAGAGGCCTGCTCGGACGTGGTGCCTCAACTAGGCAGGACAGGCAAGAACAGGGGGAGGGACCATGTCCAGTGCTGACCTTTGGAGCTGTGGGAACACAAACCCACCACATGGTGGTGACTCGGTGTGGCTGCTGCCTCCAATGCTGCCTGTCCAAAGGGCTCATCACCTCTGGACTTGAACCAGCGGCCTGCCGACCAGAGCTGACCCAGGGCTAGATGGCACCCCCAAGCACCTGAGTCATCTCCTCAGATGAACACCTCCCCAGCCCCGTCCACACACGTACGCAAACCCAGTGACTGGCACACATGTGAGCAGACGTGTATCTGTGATTCTCTGCGTTTGCTCCCAGTGCTCAGGTCCCTGCAGTCTGAAGCCCCTCTCTGTGTTGCCAGGGGGTGAGCAGCTCTGTTTACATGGACTGGATAGCAACTAGCCTGCAGGGCGCTTGGGTTTTTTCCAAGTACAATAATCTAGTGAAAAAGAGCTCCTTTCCTGGTCAGGGGCCTGGAATCCCAGGGAAAACAAAGCTCCTCGAGGCTCACAACTGTCCCGTGTCAGGAGTAGGCACGCCATAGCTCTACCCTCTCCAGGGCAATGGGGACATCGGTGGCCTGCGGACCGTGACGGTGGCCCGTGCCTTACAAGGGCGATCTCCGTCCTGTCCCCCCTCATCCTAAGAGGGGCATCTGTATCACGTCACAAGGGTAAAACCTACCATTAGGTGGCTGTCCACAGTCACAGGTGGACCTGGGCCCCTCAGCGGACCTCACTCCCCTGACAGATGTGAGAAAGTCCTATGCTGACCCACACCCACATCCGCAGCCCAGCCCGGGGTGACCTGTCCATGGAGAGGACACTCTGAGACCCGCTCCACAGCCGTACCCACAGCCCAGGGCAATCTGTCCACTGAGACAGCAGACCACTCCATAACTGCATCCACAGCCTGTGGTGACCTGTCCGTGGAGCAGACACTCTCAGACCCGTACCACAGCCACCGACACAGGAACCACTGGGACATGTGCTCGAGGCCGCACACACCACCAACATACCTCTCTTCCATCAATATGGGAGCGGACAGAAGCATGCAGGCTCTTTGTCAGTGTGAGGGCCGTGAGGGCCCAAGGGGACCTTGAACAGTCAGACAGAACGGCACCAGTGAGTACGCGCCACTAATGGGCTTCCGTTCTCAGCGCCCCGAGCACCTCTGTGGCGACACTCAGACACCTGCGGCCACAGGGCAGGTGCTCCTGGCAGCAGGCATACTGAGTGCCACGGGAGGACGAGAACCACGCGCAAATGGGGGCTCTGCTAAGCTGCCTCAGAGGAGACGGGGCTCCTGACGGCTGAGCTCCTGAACGACCCACAGACTCAAGCGGCAGACACAAGCGCTCCGCCTCAGATCCAGTGATTACACATCACATGCTTGCACCGGCATATGAAAGGCAGTCCAGTAAATCTCCATGGAGTATAATTTAATTAGAAAAGGAGGTTTGTGTTCCAAAGTGAACTCCAGCATTTCTGGTCAGAACAGGATGGACCGTTCGTCTTTCAACGCTTTCTAAACAGTCATTGTCTCTCCTGTCACATTCCAAGCAGCTCCCTGTCTGCGGGGACAAGGCCTTGGCGGAGGAGGACGGTGGGAACTGCACCCAGAGGCCTCAGGCCTGGCAGCTCTGCCAGCACTTTGGTGACAGACAGGGAGCACCCACATCTGGGAAAAACACCTGAGAAATGTGACTGAGGACAAAGCCACTGTCACTCAAGGAAAGGGTTGGACACCTGACACCTAGCGCTGCAGCTGCCAAGCCTCAGCTCCACCAAAGCCCCAGCGCTCACACAAGCTGCTCCGGCCCCAGGCCCTGCTAACCCAAGGGGCCCTGCAGTAGGCAGGCTAACCCACCCGCTCTAAGCAAGAGAGAGGAGTGCTGTCCCGTAAAAGGTCCCATCTCAGAAGCCTCGTGGAGGCCTGCTGTGAGCTGAAATCACCGCCTTCCCGAGTGTTCTGAGTCCCCAGGACCCTGCAGCACGCCCAAGCACAACCTGGCCCTGAGAAGATACCCACCTTTCCCCAGAGCGACTGCTGGGACCCGACCAGCAGAGACAGTCAGCGTTTTGGTTAGCAGCATATCTCACTACAGAACAAGCCACCAGAGCTCACGATAGGGCCTGCTGAAACTGAAGAGGACTGAAGCCCTTCCCACAGAACATTAGAGACTAAAGTCTATAATATGGACTACATCTCAACACGAGAACAGAAGTCCTCACCACCATGCCAAGAGGCAACATTGTGATGGTTGTTGTGATGTGCCGTCAAGTCGCTGGCAACTCACAGCGACCCTCTGTACAACAGCCCTGAACCCTGCTCTATCCTGTGCCAACCTTACTGTCTCTGACACACCTACTCCCATTACCCCAGTCACTGAGTCAATCTATCTCATCAAGGGTCTTCCTCTCTTGCACTGTCCCTCCACCTTCCCAAACATGTCCCTCTCCAAGGACTGGTCCCTCCTTACAACAAGCATGTCAAACGAAGCTTCAGACTCCCTGTTTCCAAGGACAAACTTGTTTGTTCTGGCAGTCCATGGTATATTCAACACTCTTCTCCAACACCACAGCTCAAAGGCATCAACTCTCCTTCTATCCTCCCTAGTCATGTCCAGCTCTGACACATAGTAAGTAACTGCGAAGAATATGGTCTAATCAGGCACACCTAAGTCTCCAGCCTGACGTTGTTGCTCTTCAGTACTCTGGAGAGGTCCCTGACAGCTGACTTTCCCAATGCAATTAGTCTACTGATTTCCTGGCTGTTGGTACCAAGAGTGTTGACTGTGGAGCCAAGCAAACAAACTGTTGACAATCTCAATCTTTTCACGATCTATCATGATGCTGCCAATTGGCCCAGGGATGAGAATCTTTGTTTTCTTGATGATGAGCTTCAAACCATATTGAAGACTGCAGTCCTTGACCTTCTGCAGCAAGTGCTTCAGGTTCTCCTCTGTTTCAGCAAGCAGTGTTGTATCATCTGCATAACACAGATTATTGATGAATCTTCCTCCTATCCTGATGCCACATTTCTCCTCATACAGCTCAGCATCCCAAATGATCTATTCTGCATACAGACTGGAAAGGTATGGAGACGGAACACATCCCTGGTGGACACCTTTCCCGATTCTGAACCATAGTGTCTCCTTACTCTGTTCTAACAACTGCCTCTTGGTTCAAGTATAGATTTCGCATAAGCACAATCAAATGTTCTGGGATTCCCATTTTTCTGAAAGTCAGCCACAGTTTGTTGTGATCCACACAGCTAAAAGCCTTTGCAGAGTCAATGAAACACAAACATTCCTCTGGTTTTCTCTGCTTTCAGCCAAGATCCAGCTAACATTAGCTATGCTATTCCTAGTACCACGGCCTCTTCTAAACCTAGCCTGCACACCTCGTAGTTCTCTGTTGAGGTGTTGCTCCAGTCGTTTTTGGATCATTTTCAGCAGAATCATGTCAGCAGAATCTTGCTTGCATGTCATATTAATGATATTGTTCGATAATTCCCACACTCTGTTAGGTCACCTTTGAAGAAGGAAAACGGAAGTTGGCAAGGATTTCACCTTACTTGGATCCACAGTCAACATCCAGGGTGGTACAAGTGAAGAAATCAAAAGATGGGAGGTGGATGAAAATGTGCATCAATGAATGAATGAATGAATGAATGAAAACCCACCCTTTCTGTATATTTTCACTAAAATCACAACAAAAGAAATCAAGAGATGTGGTGTCTTGGGAAACTCTACTGTCGAGGATCCCTTTAAATTCTAAAAAGCAAGAATGTTTTAAAGACGAAAGTGTATCTGCTGTTATCCACGGCATTTTCAATTGTCTTGGAAGCATCAGAAAGCAGACAATGACGAAGGAAGACTGAAGAATCAGTGCCTCTGAACTGTGCTGTCAGTGTAGAGCACTGAGGATACTAGGCACAGCCAACAGAACAAAACACACCTGCCTGTGAGAAAATGCAATCAGGTGGTCCTCAGAGGTGAGGATGGTCACACTGTGGGCACCGGTCAGGAGGTGCCAATGCTTGGAAAAAGACACCACACTGGGAATCGCAGAGGGACAGCAAAGAGGAGGAAGACCTTTGACAAGACAGAATAACATGGTGACTGCAACAACGGGTTTGAGCACGGCCTACCTGTTCTCCACAAGATCACTAGGAGTCATGGCTGACCTGACAGCACGTGGCAATAATGACTGCAGTAGGACTGGGTTGACCTACCAACCTCTGGAAGAAAACACCTTTGCTGGGGTGACAAGTCATGATTGTTAGGGTGTACTTGCCTCTCCATTCTGCATTCTAAATACTCTTTTGACTCATTTCTGCACAAGGCATTTTCAAAATCATTTTCTCGCAGACACTTCATGAACTTCTCTTTGAAGCGTTTACATTCACCTGGAATGAGAGAGACATGTGTTTGCTTCTTAAAGTGAAGCACTTCGGGGAAGCGAAGTATTTGTGCAACATGAATGAGTATTTTTTAAAAAAGTGAACATGTGGAGGGGGTAAAACCTGCAACAATGAATGAAAATCTAACTTTTTTGTAAACTTTTTTTTTTTAAATCACAATTAAAATTATCTTTTTGAAAAAAAGAAGCACTCCATGCTGACACAGTAGCCTCAAAGGTACTGGACTTGACTTTTCCTCTTTTAACCCACTTCCTCCGGAAAATGAAAGCTATGTTGGAACTTTCCAACCCATGCTGGAGAACACAGACCAGGGAGGATCTAACGCATGGACAGGGCCTCAGGCAGCAGCGACTCAGGTAAGATTCTGGCCCGTTTGCCAGGAGGGTTGGGAAATTTCTTAACAGAATGTTGGGCAATATAGGAATCTACTTTCGAAGCCTGAACTCCCACAGAGGCCCCCTCCCAAAAAAATGAGCTCTGGCCCCCATCAGCAGTCCTGGTCTAATGAATCACTGACTACAGACTCCCTAAGGGGCAAAAATGTACTTATTCATGGGGCGTTTTCGCTGGAAATGAATTCGAGCATTTCCTGCTCTCTAAAACGAGCAGCTCATGATGTCTAGGACTCGACAGTGACCCCGGAGACCCCACACTGGCGCTCAACCTTTCTTCTCAAGCCCCTCTGGGCGGAAGGGAGTCACCAACCTTGCAGTCTGAACCGACCCAGTGCCGCTCGGGGCACCGCCCGGTGCGTAACAAGTCAAAGTCATTGCTGTGCGGAAAACAACTCACAGCTGACCCTCGGTGATGCTCTGGGGCTGCAAACAGCAAGGAGGCGGTGCCCCGTGCGCGCACAGCGGCTCCGTGATACGTAATCAAAACAGGTGGGGTCTCTTCCAGGCCGAGAGCTCCGCCAGAGGCTGCAGGGGTCTGCAGGCTGGGACCCTGCGCGCCGGGCACCGGAGAGGCTGGGGGCCCGTCCAGCTTCCTCCACGGCCAGTTGGCACGGTCGCCGCCACAAATGCGGGACGCTGGCGACATCGACACTGGTCTCCCCATGTGCCATCGAGCGGACGCTAGTACCACTGGGGTGGGTACCGAGGGCGCGGGGTCAAGCGTCGGGGACCAGCCCCGCCCTGGGAGAGCGCCGTCCCTAACACCGGCAGGGCGGCAGTGACCCTGGAGCCGGGACGGACTGAGGATCGGGCTGGGGGCTGCGGTGGGGTCTGAGTCCAGGGCGAGGCCGGGACCAGGCCAGGGGCTCGAACCCAGGCCCGCCGCCGCTCACCGAAGTGGTCCAGCGGGAAGCTGCCCTTGTCCGGCGGCCGCGGCTGGAAGCTCTTGTTCCCGAAGTTCATGGCGGTGGACATGATGACAGCTCCGAGGTCCAAGGGCGACGCACGCAGGACGCAGGCGCACGCGCGGGGCGTAGGCGCGGACGTAGACGTAGGACGCAGGCGCAGGCGTATGACGCAGACGCGGACTCAGGGCGTAGACGCAGCGCGCAGGGCAGCCAGCCGAGCGCCGAGTGGCGCAGGGCGAGCACCGATCGCATCGAGCGACGGCTCCTGTGCTTCCCGCGTTTCCCCCCCTCCAGCCCCAACGTGTGGAGGCGAAGTTAAAACGCAGTGACCCACATGTGCCATGCCCACCTGCTCCCCCCTGGGCAGGGTCGCCTCTGGCCGAGTCCAAGCCTTTGCAGCTGGCCTCGCTGAAGTTCTGTGGGCGTTTCCCGTCCACTGCTCCGTCCTGCCTGCTGTGGACTCAATGGTGACCTGACCCCAGAGTCTTACGGAGTTCTGGTCACACGCCCTGTGGTCATCTGAACCCCGGCGCCCCCTTCATGGCCTCACTTCGTCATCATGCGCCCTGGCTGTCCATTTAGGGACCTGCTGTAATGACCCCCTCCTTGTGTGACCTCTTGCCCCCTCTGCTCCGATCAGATGAGCTCACCCTCTGTCTTGTCCCTTCATGTCATTGCCCTGTATGTTGGAAATCCTGAAGGAGCCTAGTGGCACTGTGTGTGAGTGTTAAACTGCTAACAGTTCATGCGTTCGAATCCACCAACAGCTTAGAGGGAGAACGCAGTAGCAATCTACTTCCATAACGACTTAAAGGACTGCGGGGTGCTTTTGTGTTGAGATGGTGTCAGTTGGAGTCACAGCAACGAGTTTGGGATTTGGTTGGAGAAGTGAAGAGAAAACAAGAGCAGACATTTATAGGGAGGAGCATCAGAACCAAAAAGAGCCCTTGGAAATTAATTTACAGTATCAGAAATAAAAAAACTGAGCAAACGCTTTGATAGTCTAGTGGGTAAGGTGTTTCACTGCTAACCCAAAGGTGGTCTGTTCAAATACACTAGCCACTCCGCAGAAGATTGGGGGTGGGGTCAGGGCAAAGAACTGAAGAGAAGAATTGGAAATCAAGTGGATTTTTCTAGAAAGTAGGACTTGCCATGAGAAGAGTTGGCCACAGTTGGACTGGGTCCTGGGAATAAGAGGCATGGACCAGCTAGCCGGTTGTCAGTGGTGATCACAATGACCTCCTGGCCTAAGACTCATGGCCTTTTCTCAGCTTCCTCATCCCTGCCTTATTCAGTTCATATTTCTATTTTAGCAAGGTACAGAGTATTGTTTTGGGATGGAAAAGGTTGTGTGTCAAAATGTCTGGACCCTGGCTTTCTATTGTGGCAGATTCCAAGTTGTTCCTCTTGATGAGGCCTGATACAATGTAACTATCTTCACATTGAGATTCGATACAATGTAAACATCCCCATGGTGAAATCTTAAACACTGTAATCACCTCCTTGGTGAAATCGGCTGTAAACAAACAATCAAGTTGAAAAGGAACTTCCGCAGAGGTGTAGCCTACATTCAACAATTAAGGAAGTAGGCCAGAGTTCTCTGGCTTTTTGCTCCTTCTGGTCCTCTATCTAAGTTGTTGTCCTTGACCTCTAGTTCTTGGGACTTGAGTCAGTGCCCTTCAATCTCATCTGTTCATTTGAGATTTTCCTCAACCTGGCAACCCAGCAGCCTGCTGTCTGACCTACTGAGCTTGGGTTTGTCAGTCCCTCAGCTCCATGAGTTACGCAAAGCCTCAGACCTGACCACAGACTTGGGATTATCAACCTCTACCACTAAGGACCATAACAAGTTGTGGCTGACATTGGGGGATGGGAGTCCCAGCGCACTTGATTGTGCTCATGCGGAGCCTGACCTGGTCCAGGAGGCTGTTGTGTGAACAGAGCAGAGGAGCACTGCATGGTTTAAAATTGAGAAGGGATTGTGTCAGGGTTTTATTAATTCTCCATACCTATTCAATCTGTATGTTGAGCAAATTGTCCAAGAAACTGGACTCTGTGAAGAGAAGTGTGGCATCAGGATTGGAGGAAGGCTCATCAATAAGCTGCGTTATGAAGATGACACAACCTTGCTTGCTGAAAGTGAGGAGGGCTTGAAGCACTTCTAAAAGATCAAAGAATGCAGCCTCCAATATAGATTGCATCTCAATGTCAAGAAAATATTTTTACCACTGGGCCAATAGACAACATCATGATGGATGGAGAGGGGACTGAAATTGTGAATAGCTTCATCTTGCTTGGATCCACAATTAACACCCTTGGTTCCAGCGGTCAAAATAAGGTGACACATTGCACTGGGAAAAATCTGCAGTTAGAGACCTCTCCAAATTATTGAGGAGTAATGATGTCAGTTGGAGGACTAAAGTGCATCTGATTCAGACCATAATCTTTCTGCTCACTTGCTATGCATCTGTGAGCAGGAGAGTAATTAAGGATGACAGGACAGGAATTGATGCCTTTGAGGTATAGTGTTTGAAAGGACCAATTATCAGAAACTCAGTTTCTGGTAAAGTACAGTTAACCCCACCCCACCCGCTTGAGTGGTTTTTTTTAACAAACAAACAACCCCCACCTGTGGTAAATCCCACCCTGATTGATCAGCTGCCATAAAGTGGAATTCTTCTTCTTTGTAAGGGCACAAGGGATTTTTCCGCATTCCTGCATCTGAAGTAACCGATAAGATTCAAATAGGTTTCCAAACTGTTTCCCTGAGCTATGGCTAGCCAATTGAAGGTGGACAAATACCCAAACTACTGTGGGTGGCCAATCATGGTGTGTATGGTTGGGCAGGGGAGTAGCAAAGGTATAAAAGGAGGGGCAGACATCAATTTGGGGCTCTCGGGTGGATGCTGCTGTGTCAGCACGCGGGAGCCTGGGTTTGAACTCAAAATAAACTTTGTTAATTTGGCTAATTGGCTCGGTGATCTTTTTGGGGACTCGCTCCATTACAGTGTTGGGAAAGAGCACTGAACATCCCATGGAAGGCCAAGAGAACAAATAAAATGTTGTGGAAAACAATGTATTCAAATTTTTAAAATAAACTAGTATAATTTTTTTTTTTTTAAATGTCTTGGAGAGTGCAGCTGGAGTGTCCTTTGGAGGCCCAAATCATAAGACTTCTCACATACTTTGGGCATGCTGCTGGGAGGGTCAGCGAAGGAGAGAAAAACCCTCAATGAGGTGGACTGACAGGATGACTGCTGCAATGGGCTCCTGTGTGTCAGGAAGTGTGAAGATGGCGCAGGATAGAACAGGGTCCAGACATATTGTTCACGGGGTCGTTGTGAGTCATACGGGACAGCACCTAAAAACCACAACTAAGGGAGCAGTTGCTTGACACCAGTCTCTCTGTATATATGTTGTGTCTTTCTCCAGGGTCCAGCTTCCTGTTATGCTTTGTAAATTAGAAGAGGGAGACCCTTAACAAGGTGAGTCCGTACCCCAGCTGTGACATAGGCTCAAGAACGACACACACGAGTTCCCCAGCGGTCCCGTGGATCTGTCTCTTGCTTCAACAGTGTTTGGACGGAACAGACCCGGTGACTTCTCCCCTTCCAGCCTCTGACTACCCTCCACTTCATCTCCAGGCATAACCTCGGGACCATCTCAACCACCTCCTATTTTCGGGACCTGCTAATACCTTTTTTTTTGTTAGCTCCAAAACCTCGACCAACTATGAGCTCTCAGATCCGTCAAAATTACTCCACCGAAGCAGAAGCTGGCGTGAACCGTCTGGTCAACCTGCACCTGTGGGCCTCTTACACCCACCTCTCTCTGGGTTTTTATTTTGACCGTGATGACGTGGGCTTGGAAGACGTGGGACACTTCCGTGAGTTGGTGAAGGAGAAGTGTGAGGGTGCTGAGTGGCTCTTGAAGCTGCAGAACCAGCGCAGCGGGCGAGTCCTCTTCCAAGATATCCAGAAGCCATCCCAGGATGAGTGGGGTGAAACCCTGGACGCCATGCAAGCTGAGCTGGCCTTGGAGAAGAACCTAAACCAGGCCCTTCTGGATCTGCATGCCGTAGGTTCCGCCCACACTGACCCCCATCTCTGTGACTTTCTGGAGAACCACCTCCTGGACGAAGAAGTGAAACTGCTGAAGAAGATGGGTGACCATCTGGCCAACATTAGAAGACTGGGCGGCCCCCAGGCTGGGCTGGGCGAGTATCTCTTTGAGCGTCTCACCCTCAAGCATGACTGGGCCCTGTGGGGACCTGCAGGGGGGACCTCTGCATCCCCCTGCCATCAGCAGCAAGCTTCTCTATCCCACCCTGATATAGAACCTTATCCCCCAGAAGCCCCTCACCCAAACCTTGGACCAAATGAAACAATAAAGCTGTTTTTGCAACAGCTAAAAAACAAACAAACAACCCCCCTCAAAAAAAGACACACACAAGCATTATGTCTTCTCCACAGAACTTGGACTGACAGGTTCCCATGTTACAGCTGAAGAGACCATGGTTCAGGGCGGTCAATGAAGTCACATTCTTGGTATCACCCACCTGACCCCAGCCTCGGGGAGACAGGATCAGGGTGACAAGACAGCCCTAAGAAAAGCTAGTCTTGAAGCACAGAGCAGTAGATGGTTCTGGAAAGGACACAACCTCCTGAAAGTGCAGAGATTTTAGGGTCCCCACTCGGCTTCCACCTGAGCGAGCTCTGCTGAGGCTGCAGCCCCAGCCCAGCAACTGTGGTTCTGTTTCTGGAGGCCTAGTCCATGAGGAACGGCATGAACCCTGAGGCCACACTTCTCCGAATCTGCCAGGGGCTCAGTGGAGAGGGATGGTCTCCACCCCTGCTTACAACCTCTTCCACAGTGAGTTCTAACTGACACATGGCAGGGAGGGGATAACCAGGCTTATCTTCCAAGGCTCCTCTGGCGAACTCAGCCGGCCAGACTGTAGTTAGCAGCAGGGCCCTGCCCGTCTCAAGGTGGCTGGTGACCTGACCTCCCTGTGACACATCCTTGCAGTGTATTGTTTCTGCCATTCCCCATGTCACTGCAGAACCACACCTGTTCACCTGTTCCCGTGCCCTGTGGTATCTTCAGGGTGGGCTGTTCAGGAACAACGCGAGGCCTTTGTTCTGGGGAGCCTGTGACCCCTGGACTTCTGCCTCTGGGTGAGCAGGTGGACATATTCACTGTCTGCAGTGCCAGGGACCCCCACGGAAAGGCCTAACTCCAGAATTTACAACTCTGAAGCTCAAGCACCCCCCCCCCAAGAACCCATTTCAGCTCCCGCCTCCTGGTGACTCACTTCCAGCGTCACATAGCTTCAGACTCCTGGGCCCCAGCTGCCCAGGCTTCACCTGACTGGGGCCCTGGCCTCATGTGAAACTACAAAGGGGACATTGCACGTTGCTCTTGTCACATAGACAACCTTTGAGCCGCTAGGAGCAGGGGCTGTGCTGGTTACTCATTAATGCTCCCAGGGCTGGAGACAAAGGAGCTTTATCACCCGGTTCACCGGTTCACCGAGCCAGACAGCACTTAGCAAAGGACACCCTCCCCACAGGCTGCCCCAGCCTCACTATCCAGTTCTCCTTGGGGACAGGGAGAGTGCTGAGGGCTGATGACTGGGCTTGACAACTGGACTGGCTGCATGTGATTGCGCAACACCTCTTGGGGAGGGCACTTTTCTGCATCCTGTCATTTCCTGCTCCCAAACCCTGCGGGACACAGCAGAACTGTCCCATTAGGTTTCCAAGGTTGGACCTTCACAGGGCAAAGGCCTCATCTTCCTTCCTCGAAGTGGCTGGCTGGTTCAAAGCTCTGGTCCGCTCAGCCATCTGGTTAACCCCTCAGAGCCTGACCACCTTGGAGAGGAAGCACTGTTATTGGGTGGTCTTACCTGGCAGGCACCTTGACACTGGCTGCTGAATAGATGAGGGAGCTGAGAAAAGGTGCTGAGTTCATACTCTTCAAATGAGTGGACGGTTCCAGTGACCAGCTGGCTTTCCCTGTGTCCCGCACACAGAAGAAGGGGTGCTCACATGGGGCCGGCCAGCTCTTACTGGTGGCAAAGCCGGTGTGTGAACCCTCCACAGTTAGACACCCATGTACCCAATTCAGTGGCATAAAACAGTTTCTCATGAATAATCTGGATCAAAAGCAGAGAGAATGTAGGACAGAATTTAAAATTCTCTTGGAATCCAGACTTTCTCAACCCACAGAGACTTGATGAACCCCTCCCTAAAAAAATTACTGACCTATGATAATTTTATATACCATGGACTGCTAGGAGAACAGGTTTGTCCTGGAGAGGGTGAGACCAGGCTGCTCCTTGGAAGCAAGGATTCTGAAGCTTCATCTGACATACTATGGACATGTTGCAAGAAGGAACCAGTCCTTGGAGAGGGATGTCATGCTTGGAAGGGTGGAGGGACAGCACAGAAGAGGAAGACCTTGGATGAAATGTATTGACTCAGTGATTGGGTAATGGGAGTAGGTGTGTCAGAGGCAGTGCGATTGGCACAGGACAGAGCAGGGTTTAGGGCTGTTGTGCATTGGGTCACTATGAATGACAGGTGACTCAACAGCACGAAAAAACAACAAGAGCAACATGAAGATAGTTTTCAAAACTCCAAATAAAATAGCATAATTCTGCTGAAAATTATCCAAAAATGACTGGAACAGCACATCAACAGAGAACTGCCAGACATGCAGTCTGGGTTTAGAAGAGGTCATGGCACTAGGGATATTATAGCCAATGTTACATGGATCTTGGCTGAAAGCAGAGAGCACCAGGGCAATGTCTATCTGTGTTTCATTGATTGTGCAAAGGTATTTGACTGTATGGGTCACAACAAACTGTGGCTGACTCTGAAAAGAATGGGAATCCCAGAACACTTGATTGTGCTTACGTGAAACCTACACTTGGACCAGGAGGCAGTCATTAAAAAAGAGCAATGAAACACTGCATTGTAGGGAGCTCTGGTGGCCTAGTGGCAAGACTCTGAACTGCAATTCCAGAGGTACGTGGTTCAAATCCACCAGATGCTCTGCTAGAGAAGGAGGGGGCAATCTCCTCCTGTACCAGTCAGATCTGATTTGACGGTACACGTAAAAATAATACAATTTTTAAAAGTTTAAAAAAAACCCCAACAACCAAAACACTGCATTGTTCAAAATCAGGAAAGGTGTACGCCAGGGATGTGTCCTATCTCCATACTTTTTCAATCTATATGCAGAACAGATTACCTGGGAGGCTGGGCTGTTTGAGGAGGAATGTGGCATCAGGACTGGAGGAAGACTCATTAACATCCTGTTACACAGATAACACAACCCTACTTGTTGAAACTGAGGAGGACCTGAAGGTCAAGGACTGTAGCCTTCAATATGGATTGGAGAAAACAAGTATTCTCACCACTGGGCTGATTGGCAGCATCATGATGGATGGTGAAGAGGTTGAGATTGTTATGAATTTTAGTTTGCTTGGCTCCACAACAAGCAAAATAGCCTTTGAAACCTTCTTTAAACCAAATGTGGATTAGGTGCTATCGAGTCATCTCCATAACAAACTGCACACTTCAAAACCTCGCTCAGTCCTCCTGGTGCTCAGTCCTGCTGGTGCTCAGTCCTCCTGGTGCTCAGTCCTGCTGTGGTGCTCTCGGTGGTCAGCTGAGTCTTCCTCCCCTTCCTTCTCAACCAGATGACAAAAGACTGCCTTGAGCATTACATTCTTCTGTGAACTGTCTATAGGGACCAAATTGACACCAGCAGCCCAGATGGGCAGCAAAGCCTCCAGCCCCGTGGGTTTCTGTCAGTGAGTGAGGGAGAAGGTTGAGGACGGTGAGCGGTGCCAGGAGCCGCGTGCACGGAACCCTGTGGACTACGTGCTCTGCTGTGTCTCCAGTGATAATAATAAAGCAATCTACTTAAAAAGCAGCAGGAGTTGATTTTGCTTTTGAATTTGCAGATTGGGTGGACCTGGGGGCCAGGCTGCAAGTCATCAGTGTAGCACGACGGCTTCCGTGGTGGCTCCATGGCCAGGAGCAGGCTGTGGAATGAGCTGGCCCAGGCTTGGTGGCTTCCTAGCCATGTGGTGGTGCGGCTCCTGGAGAGCTGGTGCAAGCCGCGGCCCTTTTATTGTCTAGCCTGGGAAGTCCGGTGCCATGACCTGCCGTAGTCATGCGTCCATCCAGCCTCGAAGGTGGGAACAAGGAGCGTTCGCTCTCTCGGTGCTGGGGGCACAGGCTGCTTTGCTAGAGAGATGAGCAGGTAGCATGAAAGAATGGCCTTGACTGTGCCCTCCCCAGATGCTGAGGGCCTACGTCTTTGTACCCACGTACTGCTCCTTGTGGGCGGTGAGTGGCCGCTGGCTCACCCACTTGTTGGTATCTTCCCCCTACGAACAGCAGTCGGCAAAGAGCCCTGAATGGAACACAGGCTGTCAGAGGGCAAGGCCAGGCCAAAGTCTTGAGGAGATCCAGCCAGAGTGCTCCCTAGAGGCTCGAAGAAAGACGCTTCACCCACATGTTTGCACAGGCTGTCCAGAAGGGCCAGCACCTGCAAGATAACAGTGTGCTTGCTAAGCAGAGGGTTAGAGAAGGAAGGGAAGCCCCTATAGGATGGCTGACCCAGGCTTGGTGGCAGTGGCTTCCAGCAGAAAATTATAAGCAGTGTCACCCACAGGCCCGCTACACAAAGGACGTGTGGCCTGTGAGAAAGTGCTATGGCCGCTTTGTACGAAGTCACCTGCCCCAGCCACATTGGACCTCCTCGTGCCACTGCTGTCCAGCGGCCTTGCTGGCTGTTGGACATGTCTGCATGGGATCCCCTCCCGCCTCACTGTGCATGAGGCCCTAGGAGCTCCTGATGTCACAGCATGGCCGCTGGGGACATAAATTCTAGACTGCAATAAGGTTGCAGGCTCTTGTCCAGCCAGGGGTGCTTCAGGGGGAGAGGCCTGGTGGCCCGCTCCCTGGAGCCCAGCTCTCCCCTCTGTGTGTGGGCACATGCCCTGGTGATCATGCTGTCCTGACAGGGTCATTGATGAGCCCTCTACCCTGTCCTCTTCTTCCTTCTAGGCTGACCAGCTCTGGGGCCCACCTGGACCCACTTGCTGGGCCCACAGGGCAGGGCCTTAGCTGGCAGCCCGGGTGGTGTGCCCCAACAAGTCCCATGTACCTGTGGCAGCCCCCAGGGACCCTGGCCCACGCTGCAGGCCAGCCCTCTCAGTGGTGTCGGGACCGCTGGCCAATCACCTGTTTGCAGCAGAGTGGTGGCACTTGCTCCATTCTCCACTTGGGGGGACGAGGTGCCCAGTAGCTGTGATCACCAAAGGCCCCTCTCCTTGGGGAACAGCCTGCTCACAAGGCTGGTGGGGGGCTCCAACTCCTGGAGACTCACATGCAGAGCTGCTCCAGAGGGCCCACAACTGCACCTTTCCACAGTGGGCCTTTCTCCGACGTGCCCCCCTTGGGTGCACACTGCCCCCCTCTGGGCTGAGTCACGGGATTCCTTGTGTGTGGATCCACAAGCAACTCCTCTGTCAGCTCCGCCCTGACACGACTCAGCAAGATCCTCATAGGAACCCCAAGAAGGACAGAGCTCTGCCAAGGTGAGGGCGAAGTGGCGTGGAGGTGAGTGCAGAGGTGTGTAGGGGAAGGAGGAAGTGGCGTGGAGGTGAGGGTGGTACGATAGAGGTCCTGCAGAGGTGAGTGTGGGGCATGGGGATAGAGCCTCCTCCGAATAGGTGAGTGTGGAGGTGAGCACAGGGACCCTCCATCTGCCCCACGCAGGACCACAGCTCAGGGGCGTGTTGTCAGAAGGGGTCTGTTGCTGGAGAAGGACATCTTGTTTGGTCTGTGAAGGTGAGGAAGGCCCTTCATGAGAAGGACGGCAGGGGTGGGATGGTGGGTGTGAGCTAGGCCGGGACAGCGAGGACCTGGCAGGATGTGGGGTTCTGACCTGCTCGTGAGGTCACTGAGTCAGAGCAGCAAGACAGCACCTGCCCATGCAACCCTGACATGCAAACGGGTGCATCAGATGTCTCAATCTATCTGCATAACGAGCATTTAAGTGTCCTTGGAGCAAAACAGCAGGAGTCTCCAGGCCATAGTCCACGGACCTTCCTCTGAGGACTGCTGTGGATTTGAACCTCTGACCTGCTGACCAGTTGCCCAGCACATAACCACTGCCCCATCTCGGCTGTCAGGAGAATCTAAAGGCCTTGCAGGTGAGAGTCCTGCCCAGGTGTGCACGCCTGCTCACCTCTCCTGCCTGGTCCTGCAGGGTGGGCACCGGACCTGAAATTGGAGCCAAGCCCCCCTCCTGGGCAGCTCCAAGGCCTCCTTTCTGGAGGAGGCAGCCAGCCACAGCATCTCCGTCTAGAACCCTGCCCAAGCCCCCTCCAGCCACCTGCTGGATGTGCTCAGGGCAGACACCTCCATCCACACTGTGTGCTTCCAGCATCCTGTCCCTCCAGCAGGGCCAGTCCTGACTCTCCTTCCCAGGCCCCGTGGGGCTCCAGCCTCTTCCTACGACACCCAGGGATCTCTGGAAGAAGGGGTGCAGCCCTACGGTGTCCTGTGTGGCCATGTCCTCCCTTCCGGTGGGGCTAGTGCATGGTGGGTGCTCCTTGAGTGCCTGCTGAGTTACCCCAACCCATGAGGCTTAGCTAGCAACGGATGCTGAAAGTCGACATCTCCTTCGGCTTCCCCATGAGTGAGGGGTGAGCTCCACATCTCAGGGGGCATGCAAGTGAGGCTGGACCTCCTGATGGGACAGGTGGGAGGAAGGGCTGGCCTCGGTGCTGCCGGCAACCAGTCCCTATCATGCCAAGACCTCTCCTCAAGCAGCAGCTGTCTGTCCCCGCCCATGGCCATCAGGGGTTTCAAGACTGCAGATGGTCCCCAGATGACTGGGCACACACAAACACCTCGTGGTGGTCACCTTATGCCTTCTGTCCAGCAGTCCCTGCCTCTGCTGCTGGACAGCCTGCTGGTCACGTGTGAGCACGTGGCGGAAGTAGGGAGGGTCCTCTAGTGCTCCTGTGCTGGGCCTCAAACCCATGAGTCTGGCAGAGGGAGATGGAAGTGGGGACAGGATGGGTGGCCCCACAGGACAGGGAGGGACACACGGGTGGCCACTCCTGTCCTCTAGGAGGAGTGAGACTCAGGGCCCCCCAGCCTGAGGTGCCCCCACATTCCGAGCCTGCTGCTCCGAGCTGAGCTGCACCTGCAAACCGCTCTCACCGCATTCTTGGGGCGTTGGTGGGGTGGGGAGAGGCACACCCTCCTTGCACAGGGCTATAAGCCAGGCGCGGTCGTGGGGATACGTGAGGAACCACGTCTTCATGGAGCTGCTGCTGGGGCTGCTGCTGGGGCTGCTGGGGCTGCTGGGGCTGTACTGGGCCCGCGCCCTGCACCCCAGCTCCCCCGGGCGCCTGGCCCGTGCCCTCCACCCTGGGCCCCGCTGGCCTCCAGGCCCTCGGCCCCTGCCGCTCGTGGGGAATCTGCACCTGCTGGACCTAGGTCAACTGGACCGCTCGCTGATGGAGGTAGGAGGTGCTGGCTCTGAGCAGCAGCAGCAGCTCAGGGCCCGGTCAACTGGCCAGTGCTCTCCTTCCCGCCCAGACTAGCACTGGGCCCTACAGGCATATGTGCAGCCAAGGCCGACAGGCCTCAGTGGGACAAGCTGTCCATGGTCCCCAAATCCAGGTAGCAGACATATTGAGTCAGGAGGTCTCCCAGGAAGATCAGCCCAGGGTGGAGAAGTGGTTCAGGAGGGCTTCTGGGAGGGCCTCCTTTGCTGTGTCTGCAGTAGGCAGTTCACGTTGGGTGGGTGGGTGAGGTCTGGCTCAGTCAGGGTGGGGGTCTGGGTGAGGCAGGCTGCCCCAACTCTGTTCCATGCCTCAGCCCACGGCGTGCTTCCTCTGGACACTCTCCAGACCCCACGAGCCCACCCTGAGGCCCCAGCCCACGTACTGGCCGGCCCGCCAACATCCATCCCCATTCCCAGCTGGCAGAGCGGCACGGGGCGGTGTTCACAGTACACCTGGGCCTCCAGAAAACGGTGGTGCTGACGGGCATCGAGGCGGTGCAGACCGCACTGACCGGCACAGGGCAGGAGCTGGCTGACCGGCCACCCATCCCAATTTTCCAGCTCATTCAGGGAGGAAGGGGTAGGTGGGGGCCCAAGAACTTGGGGCTGGGGCTCGAAGGACAGTTGTGCCTGGGCTGGGGGGGGGCAAAGCTCCCGGAGCTGGAACCACAGAGAGGTGAACTTCAAGGGACAGGGGCACCAGGGGCAGCCAGCAGGTGTTCATGTCTACCCTGGGGACCCTGCCAAGGTGAGGAGCAAGGCCCAGCTGACTGGTGCTGCCCAGCTGACCAGCCATGCCAACAGGCATCTTCTTCTCATCTGGACCTCGCTGGAGGATGGCCCGTCACTTCACTGTCCGGACCCTGCACCACCTGGGCATGGGCCGGGCACCTGCTGACCACAAGGTCCTGACAGAACTGGAGTGGCTTGTAGAGCAGCTGGACAGCTATGGGGGTGAGCGGGCAGCATCCCTCCCAGGCCCATGAGGGGCTGCGTATCTCCATGAGGACTGGGCACACACCCCCTTAGGTTCACTTGGGCCTGGCACCCTCATGTGAGGCCCGAGTGCCCCTCTTCCCAGGTATATTTGAGCCCAGACACTCTACCTGGGTCCCCACGTAGACTCAGCAATGCTTCCCAGGTTCATGCAGAATCCAGTCACCCCTCCTGGGTCCATGCTGGGGCTGGACACATGTGAGGACTAGTCACCCCTCCTGGGTCCTGCTGGAAACCAGGTACGCCCTCCCTAGACCCCTCCCCACTGACGCCCCTCTCCTGCAGGCCGGCCCTTCCCACTGGCCCAGCTCGGCTGGGCGCCCTGCAATATCACCTTCACCCTCCTCTTCGGCCAGCGGTTTGACTACCAAGACCCAGTGTTTGCCTCCCTGCTGACTCTAATCGATGAGGTCATGGTCCTGCTGGGCTCCCCTCGCCTGCAGGTGAGGGGCTGGGCACGAGAAGGATGGGGGTGGGGTGGCCATCTCGGCACAGCACCCGGGGGTCCTGAGGCCCTGGTTCTGCTTGCTCAGCTTAGCAGGCGAAGGGGGAGGGGAGTGCTCAGGTTCCCCAGCACTGTCAGGCCTGGACATGGGATCTCAGCCCCCAGCCCTGAGCTGTTCATCCAACTTTTCCAGAAAGGAGAGACTGCCAGGTATGACAGTGGGTTTCGGCTGCCCGGCTGAGGGAGACTGTGGACTTACTCTAGGAGCCACAGTTGAACGTTTGTCTGTGTCTTCCTGCACCTCGGTCCTGATTCTCACTGATGTGGGGGAAGCCGAAGTGCTGGCAGGAGTTCCCAGCATGCTCCTAGGGGGACCCTCCCCTGTATTAACACTGACAGAGCATCTGAGACCTGGCCAAGTTCCCACAGGGGCCCTGCTCTGAAGGAAGGAGACCAGAGGGGTCAGCATAGATTGAATGGGGGCGCAGGAGGTCAGGACTCCTAGAACAGCAGAATAGCCAGCACCTTCTGCAACCTTCCCCCGAAGGTACCAACAGAATGCCTCCCCCAGCTGCTGTCACAGGGCTCAATCCTGAGTCCTTGGGACCCTGAGGGACAAAGAACTGCCCACAGGATTTCAAGGCTCTGACCTTCCTGATGGCAGGAGCAACTGGTGGGTCCAAACCACCATCCTTTCTGTTAAGCCGAGTACTTATCTGCTCCAGGGCTTCTGACTGCTGGGGAGAAGGGAGGATGGAGTGGGGCTGAGCAGGGACAGGGTCGCCTTGAGCGTTGGTCTGACCCCAGCTGTCAGAGACCAAGCTGAGGTTGTCCTTTCCCTTAACGTCCTTGGAGACGCTGGGGTCAGTTCTTCTCAGCCCTAGGGGGCAAGTACGAGCTGCAGCGGACTGTGGAGGGGGAGTGCCAGCCCCCACCTTCCGACTTCCTGAGGCTGCGCTGGAGCCCACTGCACAATGGGCCCTCTGGGGCTGCGATGCATACAGTTGTCCTTCTGTGACTGCGGCAGATGCAGGCATATCCATAGTGGCATCCCTTTTGTTGTGTTCTCTCAGGTGGTCTGAAAAGGGGTCACCGGGCTGTGACTTACACACAGAGCTCATGTGACCCTAGTCCAACTGTCCAGCATATGGGGATGGGGTCCTGGGGCACTCTGTCCCCAGTCCCTGGGGCTGTGGGCAGTCTCTCTGTCGCTCTGTCTGCGGTCCTGTGGGTGGGGTCCCTATGTCCCCGGGCAGGTTCTCCCCTCTCATCCTGGGGGTGGGGTCCCCATGTCCCCCAGGGTCTCCCATCTGGTTCTGGGGGCGGGACCCTCCTGTCCTTGGTTGTGTGGCAGGGTCCCTGTGTCCCTGGGTGAGTCTCTGTCCTCTGCCCTGGCGTCCTGGGGTCAGCACTGACCCACCGCTCGTCCCCTTTGTCCCCAGATGTTCAACATCTTCCCGTGGCTCGGAGCCCTGCTCCAGCTGCACCGGCCCGTCCAGCGCAAGATTGAGGAAGTGCGTGCCATCCTGGAGACACTCCTGGAGATGCGGCGGAAGCACATGCGCCAAGGGGGCCCAGTGCAGGGATACGTGGACGCTCTGATTCAGCAGGGCCAGGTGTGGGCGGGCGTGGGGCCTCCCTCGGCCCAGCCTGCCTGACCGCAGGCTACTGGAGGCCTCCCCAGCTCACGAGGGGAGGAGTCTATACCCCTTGGTATCAAGCCCCACCTCCTGCCTGAGGGCCTCTCTGAGCCTCAGTCTCTTCGTCTGTGCCATGTGACCTGGCTGTGGGAGGAAGATCTGCCCCCATTACTCCTGGAGCCCAGAGCTTGGAGGTGCTGGGAAGGGTGGGCACCCAAAACTCCAAACCTAACCCCATCCCCAACCCTGTAGGAGGGAGATCCCCCTGGGCCGTTTTCCGAGGCTGATATGGTGGCCTGTACCCTGGACATGGTCATGGCTGGCACAGAGACCACCTCAGCCACGTTGCAGTGGGCTGTGCTCCTGATGGGCCAGCACCCAGACATACAGGGTGGGTCCCTGCATCCTCCATGTTGAAGTAGGCAGTACTAGCTGTGAGGGTGGGAGGGTCCAGGGTGGGGTTGGGGGGCCTGGGAGGTGTTTAGGGGTGCATGCAGGTCTGGCTGTCACCATGGATCCCAGGACGCTGTCCTTCTGCACAGGCCGCATGCAGGCGGAGCTGGACCATGTGCTGGGTCCCCGGACGCCCCGGGCCACTGACCAGGCAGCACTGCCCTACACCAGTGCAGTCCTGCACGAAGTCCAGCGGTACATCACCCTCCTGCCGCACGTGCCGCGCTGCACTGCTGCCCCCACCAGGCTCGGCACCTACCTGCTCCCCAAGGTGGATCACAACCCTCTGAGGATCCCCGCCTGCCTTCAGGGTGGTGCCTGGGCTCTCAAGGCTCCCCAGATGGTGGCAAGAATGGAGTTCAGGGCAGGGCTGGGCAGCCCTCAACCCCAACCACCCTATAGCTGGACTTGAGAACTAGAGGGTCTAGGTTCTCACTGTGTGATGGGGGATCCTTGTGTAGTGTCTTTCTGTGGGACCTGGGTCACCTGGGCATGATGGTCTAAGAACTTGGACAGTGCTGTGCTCAGGGCCTCCAGCAAACAGGAGGGTGACGTCACCCTTGTCAGGCACAGCCCCCACCCCACCCACCTTAACTCGGGAGGTCCCCAGGCCCCTCACCCAACACTCCACTGAGGGCCAGCAAGAGTGAGCAGTGGCCCTGGGAAGGAAGGCCAGGCTGACACCACCTCTGCGCCCCGCAGGGCACACCTGTCATCCCTCTGCTGGCCTCTGTGCTCCTGGACAAGACGCAGTGGGAGACCCCTGACCAGTTCAACCCTGGCCACTTCCTGGACGTGGATGGGCAGTTTGTGAAGCGGGCAGCCTTCCTGCCTTTCTCTGCAGGTGCCAGGCACATGGGGAGTCAGGGCTGTGGGGGAGCCCAGGCACATGGCCATTAGAAGCCCATCCCTCCCCCACCCTCGGAGCATTTGGGCTTCTCCCAGGTGGGGGCCACCTAGCCACTCTCAGGGCCAGGAGTCTGCAGAGCTACCAGATGCCGGCCCAGCCTGCTGGCTACGCCTCACGACCCCTGGACCACACTGTGGGGTGGGCCAGCCCTACAGGGAGGACATTCTCTCCACGGACCCCATCTGTGCCTTGCTTTCCCACAGGAGCCTGAGTGTGTGTGGGGGCCCCGGCTGCGCCTCGGTTTCCCGGGGGAGCCCGAGTGCACGTAGGGGCCTCACTTGGGCCTTGGTTTCCTGCAGGAGCCCGAGTGTGCATAGGAGCGCGTCTGGCACGGACGGAGCTATTTCTCTTCTTCACTGGCCTCTTCCAGCGATTCCGCCTGCAGCCCCCACCCGGTGTCCCCCTGGCCTCCCTGGACACTGCCCCTGCCCCAGCCTTCACCATGCGGCCCCCTGCCCAGACCCTGTGTGCGGTGCGTCGCAGGCGCTGAGGCGGATGCCTCCATCCTGTTCTCCACGGGCTCAGGGACAGACAGGATGCACCCCCTAACCAAGGGCTTATGCACCCATTATCCCCTCCATAAAGCATGGTAGAGAGCTGGGAGAACCCATCCCCCACACCCACCCTGCACTTTGAGGGAACCTTGCACCTGAGCTCTCTGCCTGGAACGATGGTACCCTGGCCCCCCCATATCCTACCCACCACAGGCTGGGAAATGAGGCTGACCTACATAATGTGGTGATGCTGGGAGAGTGCAGGGGTGCCCCAGGCTGAGTAGGGTACAGGGCCAGACTGTCCCCAAGCTTGGACCTTCCTGGGATGCCTCTGTACCTGTCCTGGGGTACCAGTTCCCCAGTACAGATGAGTGGGGCAGCTACATCCAGAGGGCCCACGTGCATCAGAGAGCCCTGAAGGGTCCTGGTGTTGCCGGAGGTCCTGGGGCTGAGATGCTGACACACTCACTTAGATGTGGTCTCTGGACTTAGACAAAGTGTCTGTAGGTGGGGCTGTAGCTGCAGGCTTGTTATCTGGGAAAGACTGGCTCAAGTTCTTGGCCACCAACACCCTTTCATGGATGAGGGGGACCCTATAGTGACCTGTGCAGATGCAGCAGAGCACCTGACCGCTGACCGTGATCTCATGGGGCTCTGGGTTTTGTCTTAGAGATGGCTGGGCCAGTGTGGGGCATGGGGGCCCATGGAGTGAGGCTGGTCTTCCCACATGGCTGCCCTCTGGATGAGGTGGGCTGCAGGGCTGAGGAGCCCACTCTGAGACCCCTCCCCCAGGCTCTCTTTGCCACCACCTCCGAGCCTGAGGCCGGGGCAGAAGCAGGGCAGCCAGGCCAGCTGGCTGGGCCATCAGTAGGCCTGCTTGCCATTGTGGCTCCAAGCTGGGGTGCTGGGGTGTCACTGCTGGCACAGAACCCTCCCTGCTGGTCCCTTAGCAGGGAAGTCAGGGTCAGCCCCAGAGGTGCACAGCCAAGACCTGGAGGTGGCCTGGTCATGGCAGGGGCTGGTGATGAGGGTCTCGGCTCTGACATTTGAAACCATGAGCCTTTTTGTCAGCCAGATCTTGACCATGTATGTGGGCACATGGGTCTGGGGTAGCCTTCTGCATGGGTGTACCAGACCTTCCCGGGAGCCTCTGAGGGAGCACGACTGCTGAGCTGTGTGAGGCTGGTGGGGACTGTGGGCTGTCTGCACTCTTGCCTGTTAAACGCCTGAGCTTTAGAAATGACTGTGCATGGACAGGGCCAGGGGTGCGGGGGTTCCCCAGTACAAAAGAGCTGACTCCAGGGCCAGGAAGCAGGAGAGAGCCCCCCTCCCTGACGGGAAGAGGAGGTGACCTTGTGGACGGAACACAGTGATTCTCAGAGAGCATTTATTATATTGATGGACAGAGCAGCCACAGCCCTGGGCCTCGCCTACATGGCCTGGGGTCCTGGAAAATGGGTCACCCCCATCTCACGGCACGGGGTCCACTCTGAGAACACCCCTGAGGAAGAATGGGTACTTCTCGCATTGAGCTGCCTCCTGGGGCCAGGCGTCCTGGGGGTGGACCAGAACTTGGCTGAGATCAGCCACTGCAAGCTCTGGAGAGGCAGACGTGAGCTCTCGCAGTCTGAGGCTCAGGTGGAGGTGGTGTCCTCTGTGGGCAGGGCTGGCACGTCCAGCTCCGAGCCCCTTGGGCAGGCAGTCCACTGCACCCTTGTGGCTGGAGATGCCCCGAGCTAGGACAGGAGCTGTAGCACCTGGCGGAGGCGGTGGGCCTGTCCTAGCAGGAGGGAGTCCTGGCCGTCGGTGGCCCCCTCACCCAACGCCTGCATCTGGGCCTCAGCCTTCTGCACTGTCAGCTCTCGAGCTTGGCCCTTCAGCCCCTCCAGGTAGGCCAGCAGAGTGGGGAAGTGCTCATCTGGGACCTAGGGGACAGAGAAGAGGGTCAGGGCTGGGTTGATGAAGTCAGGGCTGGGCTGAGAGCCAGTCTGTGGAGAACTGAGGTCTGCACCTAGTGCTCTGACCAGAGATGGAGGGAGGCTGCCCAGATGGTGTGACCTCATGAAGGGTGGGTGGGACCAGCCCCTGGGCATCATGCTTTCGAGGGTCTTCTGCCTGAGGAGGGGCTCGGCTTCTGCCCAGGTGGATCCTGCAGAGATCATGGGCTTCCAAGCCCCAGCAACCCACAGAGCCTCAGGTGTTCCTCAAAGACTGAGGGCTAGAATCCACAGGCTGACCAAAGGAGGAAGACGGTCCATGGAGACCACAGCCTTGGAGGCCTCCTGGGCAGTTCTGCCCTACCTTACCAGGGCGCTGAGTCAGAGATGATCTGACCCTACTGGGCCTGAGCCTGTGCCTGTCCGAGGGGCCTGTTCTAACGGGATAAACACACTGGCTGCGGGAGAGGGTAAAGGTCAGAGGATGACGGTGGACCTTGGGGTGTGAAGCTCAGCTGGCAGTACAGACACCGATGACAGTGCAGACCCCGGGCCCCCAGTGGACCCCACTGCAGGGAGCCCAGAAGATTCCAGAGGCGTGAGTAAAGATGGGAAGTGGGTGAAAGCCTGCTTAGAGAGAAGTCCAAGCTGTGGTGACCAGCACGTCGTGGTCCCAGCCTGGGGACAGAAGCAAACCTCAACAACTGTGGTCAGCTGGTGAGAACATCATTTGATCCGTGGAGCACTGGGCCAGCAGGAGCCCTGGGGGATGCTGCTACTGGAGCACTGAAAGGTCAGTGGTTCGAACCCACAAGAGGATGAGGTGGGTCCCCTAAGATACACAGCCTGAGACCCTCACGAGTGGCTGTGGGTCCTACAGGGTCACCAGGGCTTAGCAGCAACAGGACAGCAGTGAATGAGCTGGGGACAGTAGGACCGCATGTCCAGGCAAGCTTCTAGGTCTGGTCTAAAGGCCTCCCCTTTAGGAGTTGCCTTGGGCCATGCCGGGCACCTCCATTACATGTACCTGAGGCTCCCAGGACTCCCACGTGGTAACCACCACACTGTCGAGGACAGGGATGGTCACAGCTAGTGCCAACGGTACAGCCGCAGCATCAACTGCTGCCCCGAAGAGGGACACGCGTGTCTTCTCGGTGACCCTCATGCTAATGTCGCGGTGCCTGTGGTACTGCTGGGGGTCGGATTCCCAAGTGAGCCCCCAGTGTGTGCGGTTCACCAAGGCGGCAGACTCCACCCTAACCTCCACTCACGGCCCCAACTCTGGACAGCCCTGCTGGGCGCCCACACGCTCACTCCTTCAGGGTTTGAAGGGCCAGGCCTCCCGCCACCTTGAGGGCAAATGGTCACCATCCCAGCCATGTGGGGACAACACTTGAATGACCAGAGTGAGACCCTCTTCCCCGCCTGGAGACCCCCTCCAGCCACACAGACCTTGTCGGGATTGTACATGTGGACCAGGAGCCACGTCTGTCTCGTCTTCTGGAACTTCCAGTCCTGGCGCTTCTGGGCCCAACTGGAAAAGCCAGTAACTCAGGTTGATCGGGGACCTATGTCCTTCCCCAGGATGGAGGGATTCTGTGCCCTCCCCTGAGGGGAGGGGTGGGCCCCATGTCCACCTCCAGGATGGAGGAGGATGAGGGGAACCCTGTGACCTCCCTCAGGCCTGGGCCCACTTCTCAGGGGGGGACATTTGGAACATTTCTCTGCTTCAGTCTTGGACCCAGGCCTCCCGCCCATGCTCAGTGTTCTGGACACTAGCCACCTCTGCAGAGCGATGCCCTGGCGAGGAGCGGGCAGTCAACAGTGACCCAGCCTGCTGCCCGGGCCCCATGGACCCTATCCTGGCACCAGGTGGAGTCTCCTTACCCACAGAGGTAGTCGAGGGCCAGTGTGGCCCCTGAGGACGGTGGTGTGGGGTCAGTGGGGATCCGTGGAGCAGGGGTCTTCCGGGCAGGACAGCTCCCCGCTTCCCGCAGACGGCGCTTCTCTTCCTTCTTCCGTTCCTTCTTCAACTTCCGCTCCAGGGCCCGCTGCTCCTCGGTGGACAGGGAAGGTGCTGGGCTGGCCTCAGAGCCCTGGAGTGGGGGAAGATTCTCATCAGGCCTGTGAGGAGGGGGGCCACGCATGGCCTGCGAGGCTGTAACCACAGGGCCTTGCATGCTGGGGGAGCGGTCATTAGAGGCCCCAGATGGTGCTTGAAAGGCCAGATCCCACCACTCAGCGGAACACCTGGAGGGGCCCCCTGTGGCCTCGATGACAGGCTTGCCTAGTGGGGGCCTTTGAAGTCTTCCCACTCCCCAGCCACCGTCCCTTCCATGTGCCCTGTGCAGGCAAGTCACCAGGCAGGGGTCTGCAGAGCAGGGGACCCCCCCAGTGCAGGTTCCTGGCCCCTCCTCTCCTGGTTGGCCTGAGCTGACCACTAAGGTGGACCCTGTGGATCTGGGTCCTCCTATCTTCCCACAGCAAGGGCCTTTGTGGCACATGTCCACCATACCAGGCTGTGGTCTCATCCTGAAGAAAGGAAACCCAAGAAAGATATGCTCCTCTGGTCAGGGTTGCTGTGACCTGGCAGCTGTCTCCCATCAGATCTTTCCAGGGAAGAGCTGGGCAGCAGCATTTACTCAGATTGGCCAGGGACGTGAGAGGATATGTCCAGCTGGTATATGGGGTCCCCCTCACCCTGTACCTTCCAGTCTTTGCAGAACCTAGCCTCCCCTCCCCTCCCCCATGTCCAGCAGGAAGGCCCCTGCACTTCTACCTAGCATGCCCCCCTCAGAACCTTCCAAAACAAGAGCTGGTCCCTGCCCTCGGCCAGGGCGACCCTAGAGGTGGTCTGGGACACACAGCCCCTGTATGCAGTGTGGCCTCAGTGTCCCTGTCACCTCGAGGAGCAGTGGAGAGTTCAGGCCAGGCAGGGGGTGGGGACCAAGGTGAGCGCAAGGGGATGGGCCCATGCTCGCTTGTGGGAGCCCGCGGGAGGAAAAGCGAGGACTCTGTAGTCAGCAGCGGAGGCCAGCAGGTGTCCCAACTGCAACCAGGGAGCATCCCATCCAGAGACCATCCATACTCTCAGAGGAAGAGGATGTGCAGGCCTGCCACCAAGCACATCCCCTGGGGTCCCCTCCCTCCAGGGCTGGTTCTGGCCACAGGTGGAGAGAATGGTGTCCGTGGACCACTGAGTGGTGCCCACCGAGAACACAGCTGACCCTGGCTGCCATCACTTCTTTGTAACCCCAGGGCTGACAGGCAATATGTGGTCAGGCCCCATAGATCCAAGCAGTGACCCCATCCCCACAGATCTGAGCAGGGACCCAGACCTCAAAACCCAGGCAGGGACCCCATCCCACATTCTAAGCAGGGATCCTGCCCCAATATCTCAGGTAGGGACCCCCATCCCCACAAATCTGAGCAGGGAGCCTGCCACCACATTCCAGGCAGGGAGCCCATGTCTTGGACAAGGTCCCTGCCCTTGCATGTACCAGCCAGGGACCTGTCTCCCCCTAGCCTAGGAAGGGTACACGTGGGCTGCTCTGGGCATCATGCTGGCCCTGGGGTGAGGGCCTTGCGGGGCTGGGCGCTGCAAGGAGGCGGACGCGGGCTCTGCCCTCGGGGAGCTCACAGCCTGACACGTGAGCTCCTGGAGGACAGGGACAGTGGCCGTCTCGGGGTCCCAGCACCCGGGGCCTTGGGTGTCCTCGCGGGTGCTGCCCGAGCGCAGGGTCCATGGGCCTGGGAGACTGTGCACCTTCTGTGTAAGGCACTTAGACGAGCAGGTACAGCTCACACGTGAGGTACAGCCATACTCATGGTGAGAGTCCACACAGATGGAGCATGGGCCACGGAAGGATATGGGCCCAAGAATGTGGCATCACTCTGGACAAGGTCAGGAGGGGCCCCATTGAGCGCCAGGCACCTGGCGGTGCTGAGCACAGTGACACAGTGGGACGGTGCTGCACCCACTGCTGGCCACACCGTGGGTGTGCTGTGACATGCATGCCAAGAGGCGAGCCCACAGCTCAGTGAGTCCCCAAAGGCTGAGGGGCTTTCCAGTCTCTCTCACAGGGACATGATGCACACTGGGAACCCGCAGCTCACGCACACAAGAGCAGCCCATGATCACAGAGTGAGGGTGGTCCAGCATCCACCTTCAGGAAACAAAGACGGCATGGGGGCACCCGTCCGGGCCACCCTGGAGCCTCAGCTTCAGCTCCTGCTAGGGCTGGAGTCCTCTCGGGCAGGCTGCAGTCATACATGCTGGCCGGTGTGACAAACCCAGCAGGAGTCAGAAAGCACCAGATGCAGCTCCACCAGAGGAGCAGCAGCAGCAAGAAAGCAGTGGCCAGGGCCATGGTGGCCACGGTGCTATCTCAGGACACAGGACTTGGCCTTCTCAGAGCTAACCTCTCACACCGGGGGGGGTGGTGGTAAGAAACATTCTAACAAGAGGGACAGTCCACCTGCTGGCACTGGGGGACGCGGGGCACAGGCCACAGCTCTGGAGGATGGGCTGAGGGCAGCACACCCGCCTCCCACTGCCCCTTCGTGGGTCAGAGATGGCCCCTCAGGTCTCTCCACCACCATCCTTGTTCACGCTGGGCCAGGCTGGGAACTCGCTCACTTGCAGCTGCCTGGACCTGAAAGTGCACAGGTGCTGGGTCCTGCTGGAAGACGTCCGGCCTCACAGAGCCACAGCGGGCACTGGTGCTGCCCCCCAAGCTCTGCAGACTCTGATCTACTCAGTCCGGACTGCGGAGCACGGACTCACCGTCTTCACAGAAGTCAGACCTTCACGGTGTGAAACACACATGACACTTGGGCAAAGACTCCTTCCAAACACCACCACTGCTGCCCAGCTAAGGGCTACCTGAGTGGGATGGGACCTCCAGCTTCTACTGTCCTGGTTCGAGGGAGCCCTCAAATGGCAGAGCTCTAGAAGAGCCCATGCCCAAGCTAGGGACGCCCCGCAGGCACTGACCACACAGCCTTTACCGGCTGTCTGTGGGGACCCCCACTGCCAAGGATCTCCACTCTGCAAGAGTTCCCATGCAGGCGGGCAGCCCCAGAGCTTCCTCAGCACCAAGGGAGTGTGTCACCTGCAGCCAAGGCCCTAAGTGCCCTAGCAGGTCCTCCACGCAGTGACTGTGGGGACCCCGTCGCTCATCAGTGGCCCACTCGCTGTGACCATGGGGACCACGCGCCCTGACTGTGGGGACCTACGTGTTGGCTATGAGGACTCCGTCGCTGACCAGGGGCCCCCACTAGGCTGGGCTGAAGCTTCCTGGGGGTCAGCGCCATGGCACACTCTGCTGGGGGAAGGGGCCCCTGTTCCCAGGGCTGGTCAGTGGCCAAGCTGGGACTGGCCCGAGGGCTGCCCACGCAGCTGCAGCGCTCGGTGGGTGCTCGTCCGGCTGGGGGGCTGTCGGACGGGCCCCTCCTCACACCCACGGTGGGGTCTGGCCTTGGGGTCCCCCAGTCCTGGGCGCTGGGGGAGCCGCAGCACCGGTCCAGGCTCAGACCTCCTCCGGGGCCAGCCCTCGGCCCGCACGGAGGCCCCGACCCAGCTAAGAGGGGCTGGGGGTCCCCGCGGGTCCCGTCCCTGTCGGACCCGCTCTCAGCCCGCCTGACCCCTCCAGGGTCCAGGGCACCGACCTCTGCCACGCAGGCAGTGAGTTCTACTCAGAGCACGAGCGGTACCAACTACGAAGCCACGGAACCTACCCGCCTGCCGCCCCGGGCCAGCCGAACCCGCCCGCAGCCCCCGCGCATGCCCGCGCCCCGCGCATGCCCGCTGAGTCCGCGCGCCGCGCATGTCTGGCCCCACCGCCGCGGAACCAGATTCAACTGGCCTGGGCGGAGACGGAAGGAGGGCCCGGGCTCCCCAGGCGGGCGTGGTCACCAGGTGGGCGTGGCCCCAGGGGTGCGCGGACAGAGCAGCTGCAATCCGCAGCCCCTGGGTTTTACCGTGAGGAGCCAGGCGAAGGGCAGCGATGCACTGACCACTGGACCCGCTATGTGGGAGGGGTATGCATCATCAGCCGAGGATGGGTGACATGAAAGCGTGTCCACCTGGCTCCAGTGGCAGGCTGCGAGCCCCAGCCACCCTCGGGACCCTCCTCAGGGCTGGCACCCCAGTGTGTTCAGGGGAAGATTTTGCCTGCACAGTGGGGGTGTGATGCGGGCTTAGCTGCCGTCCCACGCTCCTCACCCCACCTTCCTGCGCCTGGAACCCCCAGACCCAGGCTGAGAGAATGGCCGGTCCAGGCAGGCTAGGCAGCCCACACTCGGCACACGAGGGCCTGGACACTGGGCACATCAGGGCCTGGAAGAGGGTCTGGCTCCAGGGGTAGAGGGAAAGGAGGGTCAGTGCTGTCTTCTGTCTGTCATACCACATCCCTCTGGTAGAGATGGGTGTCTTAGGACGCTGGATGCCCATTCCATGCCAAAGGGAAAAATCCACAGGCTGTGTGCTCTGTGAGAAGGGCCCTGTGAAAGGTGGAGAGCAGGTCCTGGCCGGGAGGACATGGAGCTCAGGAGGACTCGTGCATGGGTTCCCGCAGGACTACACCACTTATGAGAAAGCAAGCAGCCCAAGCAGAACATGAGCACAGACGTCCATGCACACACAGCAGGAGGGCAGGCAAGTGCTGCGGCCACTCATCCTGGAGATGGGAGCACACTGTGTGTGGATCTTGCCAAGGAGCCTCCCCAGAGCCAGGCAGGGAGATGACGCAGGCAGCCTGGCATGGCCTCGGTCACTGGTCCTGTGGTCACTGCCCAGCAGCAACTAGGGAAGTGCTCCTGATACAAGGATGAGCTACAAAAGGCCATGTGCTGTGTGACTCCACTGATGTAACAGTCCTGAAAAGTTAAGAGATGGACAGAAGGAGTTGGATGGCTTTCAGGGCCAAGGCCTCCAGGGAACTGACTGCAGAGATGGTTCCAATCATGTCCACATGATGCAGTGACAGGGAGCGACACATCAGTCAGCCTGGGGTGGACACCACGCCACCTGCAGCTGGCTTCAGCCCAGAAGACAGTATCCATGGGACACTCTGCCCTGCCCTGCATGGCGAGCTGCAGTATACTGGCTGGCCCAGGTGGCATTCCTGAGACTAGAGCCTGCTGTAACTCAGCACTCAGCCAAACTATAGCCAGGCCTGTGAGGGGACCAAGGAGGCAGGTACCCACACGGTCCACCAGACAAAATCCACAGGGCAGTGTGTGCCGAGGGAGAAAATTCAGGTGGGAAGGCATGGGCTAAAAGGATGAGAAAGCATCACAGGGACGGACTGAGAAGAGTGGTTACACTGAGGGGTGGAAGTTAGTGTGGATTATGTAAATGGTGGAATGGAAAAGCCACTTGTTTTATAAACTTGCACTCAAAATCACAGTAAACAGAAAATCAAGGAGCCCCCCCACCCCAGGATGTGCTGTGCAGCCTGGTGATGGGGTCTCTGGGGGCCTCCTGCGGACTGGCTCAAGGGCTGTCTATCTAGTCCTGGGCTCCTGGGGATGGGCTGGGGGCGTGGGGCTGCAGCATATAAAGCAGATCCCATCTCTGCCCTGCACCCCTTCCCTTTGTCCCCAAGAAAAAATGGTGGCCAGCCTGATTCTAGCAGCAAGTCTGGCCCATCAGCCAGACAGCCCTGGGCACTGAGTGCAGCTCCCAGCTTAAGTCAGAGGCCAGAGATATGAGGGTCAGCAGGCCGGGTGCTGGCCTCAGCTAGCCTGGTTGCCTCTCAAGTTGCAAACCAGGAAGAGAAGCTCCTGCTGGGGGCAGCTGGGTGGGAAGCCATGGAGGGAAGGCTTGGAAAGAAGGCACAGACACTCAGAAAGGACAGAACCCAGGACACCAGTGATCCCAAGTATTGTCAGCAGGATCTTGCTTTCTGCCACTCCCCACGGGTTTCTCATGTAGGACCCTCTGCAGCCCTCTAGGCTCACCCGAGAAAGACTACCACCACAGGCCCCGATAAGGACAGGCCGGAGAGCAGGGGGCCTGGCCAAGGCTTGAGAAGAACCTGGGAGCACCTGCAGCCCTGACAGCACCTCCACCCAGGTGTCTCAAAGCCACTGTCCTCCATCCCTTGTCAGGTCGAGCCAGAGGCCCCACCAACCACATACAGCAGTGACAGCCTGGTCAGAGACATGCTCTTCCTCCAGGAATGTTCTCTGCCTGATGCCATATTGTCACCTCCAGAAACAACCGCTGCTCGGAGCTGCATCCCCGGACACGTCAGCACAGCCACAGAGTCGGCAGGATGTGCCCATGACGCTGTCACAACCCCCAGAGAAGTGATGGCTCTGCCTTTGTTCAAGGCTGAGAAAGATGAGGCAGGGGCTTCCACAAATTCAGCCTGGGAAACCTCGGGGAGTGCTGCCCTGCCCTGAGGACGCAGTGGGCCTCCTGGACGCTTAGGGGTACAAGAGCATGTCCCCTTTGTTGCTGGGTCTCAGAGCCCAGGGCATATGGCATGCTTTCTCAAAGCGTGCTGTTGGAGGGCTGGGAGCCGCCCCTGGCCAGCGAAGTCAGCACCTCCCAGTCTTTAGTGTGGCTACTGAAGGTGTCGGGTGCAGTCAAGTCGAGTATGACTCATAGTGACCCTCTGAACAGTGGATTTGAACTCTGTTCTATCCTGTACCATTTTCACACTTCCTGACACACTAGAGCCCATTGCAGCAGTGACTGTGTCAATCCACATGGTTGAGGGTGGTCTTCTCCTTCACCAACTCTCCACTCTTCCAAGAATCATGTCCCTCTCCAAGGCACAGCCTCTCCTAGCAACATGCCCGGAATACGCGAGGTGAAGTCTCATTGTCTTTGCCTCTGAAGAGCACGCTGGCTGCACCCTCTCCAGGAAATATTTGTCCATGGGATGTTCAGTTCTCTTCTCCAACCCCATAACTCAAAGGCATCAATTCTTCTGTCATCCCTATTCATTGTCCAGCTCTCTGATGCATACATAGCGAGTGAATGGAAAGGCCATTATGACCTGAATCAGATGCACTCTGTCTTCAAACTGGTACGATTACTCCTCAATCATTTAGAGAGGTCCCTAACTGCAGATTTTTCCAGTGCAATATGTCGCATTATTTCCTGACTGTTGGTACCAAGGGTGTTAATTGTGGATCCAAGTAAGATGAAGTTGTTGACAGTTTCAGTCTCTTCTCCATCCATCATGATGTTGTTTATTGGTCCAGTGGTGAGAATCCTTGTTTCCTGGACATTGAGATGCAATCCATACTGAAGGTTGCATTCCTTATCTTGTGCAACAAGTGCCTCAAGTCCTCTTCACTTTCAGCAGGGAAGGTTGTGTCATCTGCATAACGCAGGTTATTGATGAGTCCCCCTCTGATCCTGATGCCACACTCCTCTTCACAGAGTCCAGCTTCTTGGATAATTTGCTCCGCATGCAGATAGGTATGGAGAGAGAATACTGCTCCAGCTGTATGCACCACTAAACAAGCATGCTCTGGGGATGACAAAACGAAGTGGGGCGGCCTGGGGTCCCCTGTGCTCAGCTGGGGTGGGGAGTGACTGAACCACAGTGCTGTTCTCTGGTCCTGTGGGCTAGGGCGCCTCAGTGCTCCCTCCCAGCCATGCTCTGAGCTGGGCAGCAGCAGCAGCAGCAGCAGGGGGACTTTCCACCCCTGCCCCGCCCCCCTCCCCCTCGGTGGCAGGGGGCGGGATGGGGGCGGGGCGTCGGGTTTCTGGGTCCCCTCCGCTTACAGCGAATTCCAATTCCGGGAACAGGAAGCTGGGGTGCTTGGGAGACAGCTGGCTGGTCTGTGAGAAGGGGCGGGATCAGGTGTACCTGCCAGGAGACTGGGCACACAGGCGCTTCCCTCCACGCAGGGTCTGCACCCCCAGATAAGCAGGGTGGTGACTCAGCACCCAGAAGCGTGGCCGCCTGTCTGGTCCAGGCTTTGTAGCGCAGCACACGCCACTGCAGGGCGTCCTGGCCGGTGTCAGGTTACATAACGGCCACCACCCGGCCCCACAGTCGGACGTCGCTAGGGGCCAATGGCCGGTGGCATGGCCGGGCTGCGCGGGGCGGGCCGGGGGCGGGCCGGTCACGTGTGTACACAGGGCCCGCAGCGTGGGAGCCCGGAGCGGTGAGGCAGGCGGGCGGACGCGAGGTGAGTGCAGGCGGCTTGCGGTCACTGCTGGCCAGGCCGCTGCTGCCTGTGGGGCTTGAGGCTGTGCCCCGGTTAGCTGGGTACCCCCAGTGCCCCTGTGTCTTTCACACCCTATGGCTGGAGAGGGGTGCGGGGCTGTCCAACCGTAAGCTGTG